TATATATATATATATATATATCGTATATGCAGCTAATGAAAGTATGTGCCTCCTTTATTTTTCAAGTTATTATGCTCACAAGATAAACTAGACGTACAGTGAGGAAAATAAGTATTTGAACACCGTGCAACTTTGCAAGTTCTCCCACATAGAAATCATGGAGGGGTCTGAAATTTTCATCTTAGGTGCATGTCCACTGTGAGACATGATCTAAAAAAACAATCAGGAAATCACATTGTATGATTTTTTTAATATATATTTTTGTGTTACTACTGAAAATAAGTATTTGAACACCTGCCAATCAGCAAGAATTCATGACTGTCAATCTCCCTCTGACTGGGGCTCCATGCAAGATCTCACCTCGTGGTGTATCAATGATCCTAAGAAAGGTGAGGAATCAGCCCAGAACTACACGGGAGGAGCTGGTCAATGACCTAAAGAGAGCTGGCACCACTGTTTCCAAGGTTACTGTGGGTAATACACTAAGACAGGCGTGTCAAACCCACTTACAAAAGGGCGCCAAAATAAAACTTTTTTCAAACTAAGGGCCGGTTTCAGAATCTACATTAACTCAAGTTAGATACCCAACCTCTTTTCTTGGTTGCAGGTTCCTCGAAAAGAGTTTGAGTGGTCTCATTTGACGTTCTCTGTTGCACTTTTGACATCATAATCAAATATTACTGAAAAATTTTAAGTGATAAAAGTATTTTATATTTAAAATATAATCTTGGGGGCCAGATAAGATGTCAACAAGGGCCACATTTGGCCCCCGGGCCTTGAGTTTGACACATATGCACTAAGACGTCATAGTTTAACATCATGCATGGCACAGAAGGTTCCCCTGCTTAAATCAGCACATGTCCAGGCCCGTCTCAAGTTTGCCCATGACCATCTGGATAATCCAGAGGAGTCATGGGAGAAAGTTATGTGGTCAGATGAGACCAAAATATAACTTTTTGGTCTTAATTCCACTCGCCTCAGTTAGAGCATTGAAGACGGGTCATGACAATGACGCACACAGCCAGGAGAACCAAGGAGTGGCTCTGTAGAAAGAATATCAAGGTTCTGGAGTGGCCTAGCCAGTCTCCAGACCTAAACCCTATAGAAAATCTTTGGAGGGAGCTCAAACTCTGTTTCTCAGCGACAGCCCAGAAACCTGGCTGATCTAGAGAAGATCTACTGCAGTGTGTGCACACCTGCTGAAAAACTACAGGAAACGTTTGACCTCTGTCATTGCAAACAAAGGCTACTGTACCAAATATTAACATTGATTTTAACAGGTGTTCAAATACTTACTTGCAGCAGTAACACACAAATAAATTATTTTAAAAATCATACATTGTGATTTCCAGATTTTTTTGATTTAGATTATGTCTCTCACAGTGGACATGCACCTAAGATGAAAATTTCAAAACCCTCCATGACTTCTAAGTGGGAGAACTTGCAAAGTCGCAGGGTGTTAAAATACTTATTTTCCTCACTGTAGCTGCAAACATCAATTTTTGTGAAGTACAAAAGGCCTTCATGCAAGCTGTGGCACAAGAAAAGCACAAGCAACTTTATTTGAACAAGAGAACTTCCTACCGTCGTGCTTCTCTTTCTGCTATCCTCCTCTGACGACTGGGCTCTTGGATTGCTGCTCGGTCTCGACCAAATGAGTCTAGATTAGGAGCCATGACAGCTTTATCTGCAAAAACAAGGATAAATGTTAAAACCAATACGTCTATGAAATCATTAAACCTATTTTTTTTTCCGGAATATACCAGCACACCACAAGAATAATCAAATTTAAAATAGCACAAAATGTTAGATAACAACATATACACTTGAAAAAAAAACTAACAAGCTATAATAAAGATTGAATCTTTCCCACCTCTTATATTTAACACTTTTTTCCGTTATATTTATTTTCTATTCACTTACCTGACTGTAACTTTAGTTACAGCACAAGTGTTAGACGGCAATCTCTACAGATCTGTTTCCACAGCTTTACTTTGTGGCTCATTAAACGAGCCAAGTTACAAACACCCAGCTGGGAGACTCAAACGGCTCCTTTAATAAAAACATTTCCAATCCACTCACCCACAAAAAAACCATGCCACTTAACAAGAATTATGCTTGCAAGGACACTAATGATGGCAGTATGGTTTAAAAAACTATCAAACGCACACACGTTCTCACACGTACAGAGAACTAACGAGGCCGTTCAAATAAATTATAAAAACCTTCAAGATGGACTGACTTGAAAGGCTTGCAAACTCCGACGATTCATCTTTAATATCATCCTGTCTTCTCTGGACAAGTCGCGAGGCCCGTTGTCTTAGTAACTGGTGCATGGCAGCCTCCAGCTCCAGGACAGCAGGCACCTGAAAAATATGATGCTTTTTGTGACCTTTGACCCAACAACAGCAGGACTCCGAGTCACTGGGATGTCTGGGATGCAGGAGGACTAAGAGGAAAATGATGGACAACACAACTCTGGACGCAAAATACTATTAGTGTCAGGTAAAAACAAACTGCATCATTAAAGAGTTGTGAACTTAAGATAGTAAATCAAATTAGAGGCCATGTTCAAAGCTGTTTACAGTGAATCCACTGGAGGGGCAGGTTTTTACCCAACACTGACAATAGTGCTCCAGACATGTTTACACTGTCATAAAAAGACGAAGTAAAGCAGAAAACGGTTTGTTAGTTTCATGAAGTTGTTAATCTGTTGCTGTGAGATCAAGACAACATTGACCTGTCTGCACATGTATATGACTGCACATGCAAACCAAGCTTGAGTCCAGTATTTAATCTCCCTTTGTCTGGACTCATCTTTATAAGACAGGACGTGTGGAAGGCTACTATTTCTTTTTTTTTTGCTCCAGTTATTTTCCATAAGTAACAATAAATCAATCACAAACAGAAATGACATTTGCATGTTGATATAACACAAGTTATTTCTCTTTAATGCAGTTGGGAAGAACATAAAGTGTGCTCCCGTCCTGAAAGGTCTGCACTCTCATAGCTTGGTTGAAATCGTATAACAGGACCTAAAAACAACAATGCTAATCGAAAAAACCTCTTCATGTCAAGTTACACTTCATTTAACATTTTATTACGAATGTTAGTTTGCAATCCGTTTAAAATTCACATCAAGTTCCCAGATCACAGACACAAAACAGCAAAGAGCTAATCAGACCACATTTAAATTCTCCCTTACCTTTTCACTGAAACACTCAAGCAAGTCTCCAACATACCCTCGCATCTCTTGCAAGAATTTATATTGATCTGCGTTATCATTGGATGAACCCTCCAGCTGCTGGATGGAACTTTCAGAGGCAGCTAGGTCTTCTTTAATCTGTTTGTAGCGATCAACATTTGCGTTGTGGCCTGCGTGCATTTGGGTGAGCCTGAAAGACAAATGACGAGGAGGAAACGACAAGAAAGGGTGTGTTAACTGGGGAGAGGATCAGAACTCAACCAACATGAACTATAAGAAAAAACATTTAGATTTTTAAATGCATCTGAGCCATTATATTTTGTGCCTCTCTTTTGTGTAGGTGTCTTTGCTGGGTCATCAGAACCACAGCACACTGAGGCAGCGCCGAGGACTGATAATTGGCGTTGCTTTGGTTTTCTACCCAACCTACCTATCCTGCAGGCGTTTCTTTACCAAATCAATGGACACTGGAGTTAGATCACAAAGTGGGGCTCCATACTGAACAGAGCCATTATCAGAGGTGTCTGGCATCTTGCCAGTCTGAGGAGCCACTGCACTGTAGGGGAAAGGCATGGTGTAGGAGGAACCAAAGGGCTGGGTCTCATAGCTGTTTTGGTAGTAGACCGTGGTGTCCTCTGGTTGACTGCTTTGAACCTATGTAACCAAAACAAGAAAAATGTTGTTTTACAGCCATGATTAACAAAACTGCTACTGTTCAACTATAACTAAGAGTTAAATATATAACAACCAATCTGTCATCAAAAATAATATTTTAAAGAAACAAGGATGAAAAAGACCTTAAAGGAATCTTTCCCTGGCTTGTTAGCATTCGATGCTTAACATGTACAAGATAAAATGGGAAAAAGAGAAGAGAAACTTTATCATCTAGATCAGGGGTCTGCAATCTGCGGCTCTGGGGCCACATGTGGCTCTTTAGTCCCTCCACAGTGGCTCGTTCAAACTTTGACAAAAACTAACCTCAAACTGAATTTTATAGGATCTTATACCCACAACAACAAATAAATAGTTTTAGCAATTTTCCTGTCATTTCCTTTGCAAATATGTGGATACTAGTAACAATACATAGAGTAAATTATACTCCCTTTAACTTTATGCTTAATTTCTTCAAAATAGGATACGCAATTTCGTCACAATAAATAAATAAATCACATGCCTGCACAATTAATCGTTTTAGTAATAAAATAAAATAAAAAAAAGACAAAAATAATATATATTTTTTTCTTTACAAGAATCCAGTCTTTCGTGTTGGACTAGTAACCTGTCCAGGGTGTCCCTCGCCTCTTCTCATACAGTGACTGCTGAATATGGGCACCAGTCCCCCATGACCCGAAAAGGAAGAAGCAGGTAAAGATGATGGATGGATGGAATCCAGTCTTTTATTTTGTCTCAAAATTTAAAAAAATATCAATAAATGTTACAATTTCACACCTACTGGCCAGAAAAGCCCCCTCTAATAAACTTAAAGTGGCCCACGGGCCACCAGTTGATAGTGTCAATCGTAGCTCTGGACATGTTTAATTTAGTGAATGAAGGGGCAGAAATGGCTCTTTTGATCATAAAGGTTGCAGACCTCTGATCTAGACTGACAAGTCTATTCAACCAGCTGTTTTTGTGACTGTTTAAATTCACATATTAAAGAAAAAAAAAATCTGTCACGTTAAAAATGCAAATACCGATTCCACAAGATCACTGGTTTTATTTCCAAAAGTCATTCACAAAAACGGAATACTTAAGATTCAGTCCGTCTTACCTGGGGTATGCTGATTCCTTTCCTAATCTGCTCTTGCTCCCAACGGCGCACCTCTTCATCGTGACCTGTATCCAGTGCTTCATCATCACTTCCCTCAATACCTGAGTAGAATCAAAGAGAAGTCCACATCACACAAGCAAACAACTGAAAGCACTGGAAAAGTCCACAAACCATGTAACATGTTACCTATCTCCTCAGCTATCTTCTGCCTCTGGGTTTTGTTCTTGACTCCACTAAAGCGAATCCTCTTTTCTTCCTCATCTTCGTCGTCGCTGCCATCTCTGTCCTCTTGTGCCAGACGTTTGTTTTGAGCTTCTGCCTCCATCAGAGGTGTCTCACCTCCCAGTTCTCTAGCCAGCTGGCGACGCTTTCTGGCAGCATGGATAAATGCTGCATCAGGGATTTCTCCTGAGGCAGAGAGACGCAGGTGTTTGTTGCTTGTTCATGCTAACGCAGTACAAGAAAGTCTCCCAGGATTGCAGGACATACATAGTAATAACAATAAGTAAGACTTAATCCTAAAATTAGATTTGGGATTTATTTTGAAAGTGTTAAAACATTCAAACTCATTGCCTTTTCCCATTACAAGCCACAGAAGTGCCGAGGTTTTTTTTTTACTACGCAAGTCAGCTGCACCACTGAGCAGTTTCCAGTCACTAAAAAGGGGGTTTAGTTTCTTTACATTACCTGGCTTTAAGCTGCCAAGGGAGGACAGTGTGCTGAAAGTGCTTCCCATGTTCTTGGTCCTTGATATTTGACCACCACGTGTCTCTTCTTCCTGCTCATCAGCACTATCCACCTCCATTTCCTCCTCGCCCTGTTCACTGCTCGCTCTGCTGAGAACTTCTTCTTTAATGGCAGCCAGAGGTTGAAATGAAGCGTCTGACAAAAATAATGCACACAATAGTCATGATCAAGAAGATTACTGATATTCTGCTTACAAATATGTCCAGCACAACTAATATGTTAAAACAGCTAAACTTTAAAGCATCAACAGCAAATCTTTAGTTTGACATTTGTTTGTCGATTTCTGGAGTTCTCATTGTTTCTATATAAAAACTAATCACAGTTTCTGCAGCCACACTTTACATCTCCTGAACTTGCTGATAATACTTAATAATAATGATAATAATAATTATAGCAGAAGCAAATCTTCTGACTGCAAATTGTACTACACCTAGAAGTTACCCAAGTACCCCTCACCCAAACCACACATTTGAGAGAATATTCCAGCATATAGGTCACTTCGCAAAGGTTTTCAGGTAAAGCGGAGTATACTATGTATGCGACCTTAATAAAAGTACACTGTACTGTGCGTACATGATCTTAATAAAAGTACACAGTATACTTCATGCTCAATAATCCAGGTAAAAATCCAGCAGAGTTAAGTCAGGTCCTCTGGACGTGTTGTTTGTGTTGAAATGTTTTGTCTGTCATCCAAAGGACTTCATCAGTCCAAGGAGCCACAACAAATACTGATACTGTGTACATGACCTTAGTAAAAGTACACAGTATAATTAATGCTCAATAATTCAGATAAAAATCCAACAAAGTTAAGTCAGGTCCTCGTGGACATGTTGTTTGTGTTGAAACACTTCGTCTTTCATCCAAAGGACTTCATCAGTCCAAGGAGCCATAACAAATACTGTTACTGTGTACATGACCTTAGTAAAAGTACATAGTACAGTGTGTACATGAACTTAGTAAAAGTACAAAGTATATTGAGTATATGACCTTTGTAAAAGTACACAGTATACTTTGGCACAGAAGAATCCATCCAGAGGACCTGATTTTACCTTGTTAGATACACAGTATAGAGTTTTCTAACGAAGTCCCATCATTAAAAAAAACTTTTCTCTAGTTTGCTTTTATGTCATTTCAATGTTTTCAATTGAGGGGTTATCTAGGGGTATATTTTAATAAATTATAGTACAGGAAGTCTTTTGCAAAGTATAAATTAACTTAAAATTACTTTGTTTGCCAGTCTGACACATTTCTTCCCTAAAATGTCCATTTTATTCAAAGAAATTATTATATTTACAGATTTCAGCTCATTTAATACTATTTATATTCATATTTGATCATTGTGAATAAATATTTCAATCTTGATCCAAGTGTCATGGAGGAAAAACTATCAAACAAAAAAGCTGATCATGAAATGGTTTAAAGTTTGCAATAAGAGCAGAAAAAAGTTGACAATGAATTTAAACTGTCTGCCAACATCAAAAGTTCATGCTCAATAAGTAAGCATGTACATGGCCTACAAGTAAACATATCTAACATCTTTACTTGTACTTTCTCAGTCTCCTTGTTTATCTGGGTAATAAAATACATACAAGTAAAGGTTATATCAAGTAATAATATTCTATTATATGATCATTATTAGGGAATATGAAATAACTGGCAGCAGTAGTAACAGTTTTTCCATCATGTGAGTCAAGTCAACTTTATTTATAGAGCACATTTAAAACAGAACCTGTTATCAAAGTGCTTAACAACAACAACAACAACAACAACAACAACAACAACAACAACAACAACCACCACCAATGAGTAAATTAAAGAGAAAAATATATAAACATATATATACAATACACTAATAATGATAATAACTGAAGAATTAATAAAACCATTTAAAACATAAGGTCACAGATTAAAAAACACTAGAACAATTTACACCGTATGAAATGCCTGAGAGAACAGATGTGTTTTTAGCAGGGATTTGAAGTGAGGAAGGGAGGTGGCCTGCCTGATGTTGGGGGGCAGGTTGTTCCACAGTTTGGGGCCCATGACTGAAAAAGCCCGATCTCCTCTGAGCTTCAGTCTTGTTTTTGGAGCAGCCAAAAGCAGCTGATCAGATGATCTCAGGGCCCGAGAGGGAATGTATGGTTCCAGAAGCTCAGAGAGGTAAAGGGGTGCGAGGCCATTTAGGCATTTGAAGGTCAGCAGAAGAATTTTAAAAACTATCCTCGTACGAACAGGGAGCCAGTGAAGGGAGGACAGAACCGGTGTAATATGTTCAGACCTACGAGTTCTGGTTAAAAGCCGAGCAGCAGCATTATGGACAAGCTGAAGATGTGAGATGGAGGCCTGGCTGATCCCAGCATACAGTGCGTTGCAATAGTCCAATCGGGTCGTGACAAAGGCGTGGACTAGTTTCTCAAGGTCGGGTCTGGACAATGGCTTGAGTTTAGCTACCTGTCTGAGTTGGAAGAAGCTTTTCTGCAGAACAGAGTTGATTTGTTTGTCAAACTTAACATCAGAGTCTAAAACCATCCCGAGATTTTTACCAGACTGCTTTAGATATGGCTGAAGAGAGACCAGGTTGACAGGATCAGTGGTGGCAGTTGAGCTAGGGCTAAAAACAATGACTTCGGTCTTGTCATTGTTAAAACTTAAGAAATTTGAAGCCATCCAGGCCCTAATGTCATCCAGACATTTTAACAGCGGGTGAATGGAGCAAACCCTTGCTGGTTTCACAGGCAGGTAGAGCTGGCAGTCATCAGCATAGCAATGGAATGAAAGACCATGTTTCCTCAGGATGGACCCCAGTGGGAGCAAATAAAGTGAGAACAGAAGGGGTTAAAGAATTGAACCCTGTGGGACCCCACATGAAAGAGGTAATGAGGCAGATACATTGTTACCAACCTTGACACAGAAGCTCCTGCCACTCAGGTATGAGCAGAACCATTCTAATGCAGCACCTGTGATCCCAACCCACTGTTCCAGCCGTGATATAAGGATACTGTGGTCAACAGTATCAAAAGCAGCAGTAAGGTCCAGGAGCACAAGTACCACAAATTGACCAGAATCGTTTAAGATCATAATATCGTTACAAACCCTTACTAATGCTGTTTCAGTGCTGTGGAGTTGCTTAAAACCAGACTGAAAAATTTTCAAGATTCTGTTCTCATTCAAAAACTTGTTTAATTGAATGAAAACTATTTTCTCCAGGATTTTGGACAGGAAGGGAAGTTTTGAGATTGGTCTGAAATTTGAGCAAGTCGAAGGGTTAAGTCCAGGTTTCTTAATTAACGGATGAACTACTGCATGTTTGAAAACATCGGGAACCACACTTGTCACAATACTACTATTTATAATAGTAAGAACAGAGGGTCCAATCATGGGTAGAACTTGTTTGAAAAACGATGCAGGAATGGGGTCAGCGGGGGAACCGGAGGGTTTCATCTGACCAACGACTTTGTTTAGAAATGGGAGTGAAATGGGTTCAAACTGTTTGAAGACAGCTGAGCAAGGGACAAAGACAGAAGGATCAGTTGTGGACTGGGGGGTGGATGACCTAACCAACTCTACCTTATCAGAAAAGTATCTGGTAAAGTCGTTGCAACATTGCTGATTTAATTTAATACCTTGAAACTGAAAGTTCTAATACTGTCAGAATCTGGTTCCAGTCCATGTCTAGTACAGATATGTAAAAAGTGGCCATATGTTGAGAACATGAGTCACAAAAACCTGCTTTATCCTCAGAAATATACTACAGTTAAAAACGTCCACACCATTAAATACATCTTCAACCCTGTTAGAGTGTATTTAAATATAATGCTCTCGATGATGTGAATTTAACTGATGTGAACTCTCACCTGTTTTGGTTTCTTGTGTGGTAGGTCCACCTTTCTTCAAATCCTCCTTGTATTCTTTCTTGAGCTGTTTAACAATCTTCTTGCTGTGATTGGGTTTCTTTACCCTGAACACCTCGGAGCAGTCTGTTGACACATAACCAAAACATATTAGTGGTAATTCTCAGATCCATCATGTGTACAGCATCTAAGTTTAGGCTGGCGGACACAAGAGTGATTCCTAATAAAAACGAAGTTTGTGTCATTAATAAACAACGTGTAGTAAAACGGATAACCTGCAGGTTAGCCATCTTAGCATCGTTACCTTCGTCATCGTCAAAACTCAGCAAACTGGCTTTCGTGGGCGGCAGGACAACTGGAACATCTTTAACCTTCTTCTCCTTCTTGACAGCTCTCATGTTGTTCGACAAAAAGCCGTTGCTGTAACTATTATCGGCGCTGCTCGGTGCTGCGGTGAAGCTGCAGGTCTCCATGAACGGGATTTCCACGACAGGCCCGAACGATGTGGGCGCCAGCGAATGGCTCTCCATCGGCTCCTCCTCGTCGGAATCATTCCTCCGTCGAAAGTTTGCTTTTTTCGCCCTTTTGAACATTATGTTTGTTTGGTAAAAGTAAAGACGCAATGTCAACGGGAGAACTGTATAAGCCCTTGCTTAGAAAAGAAAGCTATTATAGCCGCTCTGCGTGGCAGCCATTTTCTGTCAGAGGGGTGGGGCAACGTGACGTCAGACTGATGCTTCCCATTATGCCTATGATGCTGCCCCCTATTGGTCAAAATGAAAAGTGTAGTAAAGATCATGGTAAAGATCTTCAGTTTGTAATGACAGTTGACAAATCAATAACACAAATACTGTGCATTACCTTTTTCCACAGCAACTATACTGCAAAAGCTGCACCAATAAAATCCCGAGATACTATATTTGAACTCCTCTACTTGAGGCAGAACTTCACCCTTGCCTGGATGAGAGCAACCCGCCCTTTTCCGACTGAGAACCATGGTCTCAGATTTGAAGATGCTGTTCTTCACTTATCACTCAGCTGTGAACTGCTCCAGTGAGAGCTGAAGATCACAGCACGATGATGCCAACAGGACCACATCATCCGCAAAGAGCAGAAATTGAATCCTGAGACCACCGAACTGGACTCCCTCTGCCTCCTGGCTGCACTGAGACATTCTGTCCATAAAAGTTATGAACAGAATTGGTGACAACAGACAGCCCTGGCAAAGACCAACTCCCACCCTGAAGGGGTCCGACTTACTACTGGCAATGTGAAGCAAACTTGCACTGCGTATATAGGGACCGAATAGCCCATAGTAACGAACCCTAATCCCATACTCACGGAGCACCCCCCCACACAGTGTACCCCAAGGAACATGATCAAAAGCCTTCTCCAAGTCCACAAAACACATGTAGACTGGATGGGCAAACTCCCATGACACCTCAAGGACCCTAGTGAGGGTAAAGAGCTGGTCCAGTGTTCCACGGCCAGGATGGAACCCACATAGTTCCTCCTGGATCTGAGGTTCGACTAATGATCGGGTCCCATATTTCAACCACTATTTATTCTAAATCTATACATTTTCCTAATATTTGATACTGCATTCCTTGTTTTATAAATATTCCACACCCTCCTCCATTCTTGTCTTACCTACCCCATATGACATCATACCCTATAATTACAAAATCTAATGTTGATTTGAACTATGTTTCCTGTATAAATATTATTTCTGTTTTTCTTCAAATATTTCATCATAGATCTTAAATTCCTGTCCATTTGCAACAAAGACTTCTGGCGTTCCTCTGTAGTATTAACATGTGAGTTTATCACCCAATGTTCCTGGTCTCCCATCTATTTCCAGCCCTTTGCTAATGTTTTCCCAAGACACCGCTTTAAATCCCAGAAACTTTTCTGCACCCCTTGCTATTATTTTAATCTTCTCTGTTCTGTATTTAGCCTGATCTGTATATCAGATCCTTAGTTGGCAGCTCAGAACACCACTTACAGAACACCATGGACTTTGTGGATAAGGTGAGGGATGTCATCATGGAAACTGATGAAACAATGGTCTCTTTTGATGTCACATCACTCTTTACGTGCATTCCTGTTGATGATGCAGTAGAGGTGGTCAGTTTAAAATTAAAATCAGACACCACTCTGAGCAGCAGGACCACACTTTCCACAGAACAACTGTGTCAACTCTTGAAACTGTGCCTGCAGTCAACCTACTTCACATATGGGGAGCAATATTATAGGCAGAAACATGGGTGTGCTATGGGGTCTCCAGTTTCTCCTATTGTTGCCAACCTGTACATGGAGGAGGTAGAAAAGAGAGCCTTGATGTCCTTTTCAGGGACACCACCAAGTCATTGGTTCAGGTATGTTGACGACACCTGGGTTAAAATCAAATCTCTGGAAGTCCAACATTTTACTGACCACATCAACTCTGTGGATAAATACATCAAGTTCACACGAGAAGATGAAAAAAATGGCAAGTTGGCTTTCTTGGACTGTGAGGTCTCAGTCTCTGATAGAGGACATTTGCAAACTGAGGTGTACCGCAAACCCACCCACACAGACCAGTATTTGCAGTTTGACTCCCATCACCCTTTGGAGCACAAGTTAGGAGTCATCAGGACTCTGTATCACAGAGCAGACAGCGTCCCCACTAGCTCAGGAGCCAGGCAGAAGGAGAAATCCCACACAAGACAGGCTCTAGAGCAATGTGGATATCCTAACTGGGCCTTCCTGAAAGCATAGAAGAAACCCAAACAGGACTCCATTCAGCCAACAGGTGAAAAGGAGAAACCCAGACCCAGACCAGTGGTCATTCCATATGTTGAGGGAGTATCAGAGAAACAGAGACGTTTATTTTCTAAACATAACGTCCCAGTGGCTTTTAAACCCCAAAATACATTACGGCAAAGACTGGTTCATCCCAAAGATCCAGTCCCCCGGCACAAACAGAGTAATGTTGTGTATGCTGTTCAGTGTCAGGAGGGCTGTGGTCAGTCTTACATCGGGGAAACTAAACAGCCACTGGCCAAAAGGATGGCCCAGCACAGAAGAGCAACATCATCAAGCCAGGACTCTGCGGTCTACACTCATCTCCAGGCCAGCGGTCACTCTTTCAGGGATGAAGGTGTTCACATCCTGGACAGAGAGGAACGATGGTTTGAGAGAGGAGTAAAGGAGGCCATCTTTGTGAAAAGAAACTGTCCATCATTAAACAGGGGTGGAGGCCTACGTGTTCAATTGTCCCCCTCTTACAATGCTGTGATTGCTAGTATCACTCAGCCCTCTGTGAATAATACACAGCCATCAGTGTGCTAATGATCCATTGTTAGGCTGATGGTCCTTCTTGAGCATGTGATCAGCTGGTTTTGGTTGTCAGCAGCAAAACTGGTTGATCCACTCTGAGAAGGTGCTATTTAAGAGACTGAGCTGAATACAGCACCTCAGACTGAAGAAGTCTCTCGGACGAGAGACGAAACGTTTCTACATTTTTTGTTGTTTTGCTTTGTTTTGGTTTTTTTTGAATGTCCAGAGGACCAGATTGAACTTTTTTAGATTTTTCTACCTGGATTATTGAGCATGCATCAGGATACTGATCTGTATAGTTGATGAAATAAAGTTTTTTTTTTCTACAGATAAAGCGGTTTCCCTCTTTTTTCAGTTAGTTTTGTTGTTGTGATTCTTGTTTCTTTTGAACACTCGTAACTGCTTCAGCATAGCCTATATTTTGATATGTTGGATTTTGTTCTCATTCTGGATACCATACTTGCCTATCTCCATCCTTTCCAGATCCTCCCTTTGTTTCCTGCCTAACCATCCATCCATCCATCCATCCATCCATTTTCTTTACCCGCTTGTTCCATCTTGGGTCACGGGGGTCGCCGGTGCCCATGTCCAGCAATCACTGTGCGAGGGGCGGGGTACACCCTGGACAGGTCGCAAGTCCATCACAGGGCCACATAGAGACAAACGAGACAAACAACCATTCACTTTATCACTCACACCTATGGACAATTTAGAGTTACCAATCAGCCTAACATGTATGTTTTTGGTCTGTGGGAGGAAACCGGAGAAAACCCAAGCATGCACGGAGAGAACATGCAAACTCCACCCAGAAAGGCCCCTGGACCGGGGTTTGAACCAGGGACCTGCTCGCTGAGAGGCAGCAGCTCTACCAGTTGTGCCACCGTGCTGCCTGCCTAACCATCACTGTAAATAAATATCACCTAATCCTGAGTTGTTGGAGTCTGTTACTTTCAGTTCCTCTGTTTTGGGAGTTTGATTCACTGCAAATATGTGAAATACAACACATAATATTTGACAATTTCAAGCACCCATTTATCCCAGTTCTTGAGAATGGCAAAAGTATTTTGTGGACATTATTGTGGAAACTCTGTCAAGCTCCATGAGTTTGAACAGGAAATCAGTTTGGGACCAATTATGTTTGAGTTTGTTTTGTTGTCAATGTCCTGCTAAATTTAATTAACCACATCAAAGGATTATGGGATTTATATATATATATATAATGTCAAAGTTTACTGTTAAACAGAAACACAAATGCTATTAAAAGAAGAATACTACTTGCATATACATATACACAGTACATATATTGTACATATGCCTTTATATTATCACAATTTTCTTTGTTCAAAAACAACAAAAAAGCCATTCCCTAATTTTGTTCACTATCATTTACATCCTATTTTATCTCACTTATCTGATTTATCAGCAAATTAAATACACGATGATCACAACAAGTGCAGAGAGAAGCATATGTCCATCCTGTTAATTATACGTGTTGGATTTCATCAGCGTTCACTACAGGATGCTGTGTTTACTGTGGATCATGAGAGAGACTTAGTGTAGTCGATGCTTCAGCAGCAATAATGGCTTCTGAAATTAAAGTGTCACCACAGATGTAGCTGCAGTCAAATATGATTAATTAATAACAAGATGACCTCTTGTCTGAGAGATGATAATTGGCAATAAATATAGCGGTCCAGTTTCAATGCCTCATGGCTCCATTAAGATTGTTATTTTTTCTAGCCAAGTGAAAGTCTTTTTATAATATAACAAGAGCAAATACAATGCCGGTGCTGTTCTTGAACCTTTTTAACTACAAACCAAGCATCCTGTTCATTACTTCAATTAATAGTAAACAATGTTAACACATTTATTTTAGAAAGATATATTTTATAATGTAAGCCACATTTTGAAAGCACTAATTTATTTAATAACCATACATGCGCAAGATGACAAAGAAGACTGAAGTGAACTTTTTTCACTTCCTGGGCTTGTTTTTCCACAAAATCAAGCTGTTTTTTAACTATCACTGTCACATTCCTTGTATTTAAATAGGATGTTATACTTTATGAGGACGTATTATAATTTGACATTTCCCTTTAAGTAAATCTTTATTAGATTGTGAAGTGACCTGGAAAAGCAGCACAAATTCTAACCATTTCATACCATTGTTAATGCTTTGGTCTTGACTGAAAGCTAAAAACCATAAATGACCAAACTTTTTTTTTTTTCAAGGAGCACATGCTGCCCTACACCTTTCATGCCAGAGCTATAAACTAACATCTTGGATTTAGAAACGATGGAGCCTTTTTTAGATAAATCTTGAATAATACATCATACACAATCTCATGCTCGTGATATGGGTTATTTAAAACTCTC